CTTTGAACTATGGTTTTGGAAAAGAGTGCTGAGTATCCTACGGACTGTCTAAAGAACAGCTATGTCTTGGAGAAAGTACACCCAGGTTCCTTGAAGGCAAAAATGACAAAGCTTCGTCTAACATCCTTTGGTCATGTTGTAAGGAGAGACTATTTCTTGGAGAGTGACATCATGCTTGGAAAGGTGGAGGGTCATCAAGAGATGAAGACCCTCAAGGAAATGGATTGATACAGTGACTGAAGCAATGGACTCAAGTATGTCAGAAATGATGAGATGGCACAGGACAGAGCAGAGTTCAGATCTCTTGTTCATAGATAAGGTCACTATGACTTGTACCTGACTTGATGTCACCTAAAAGAACAGCAGAACCTCTGAATTTGGATTTTTGAAAATTTTATGTATTTTAGAACATAGAGACCATGTTCTGGTGGGTTAGTGGTCAGGAGCTGTGCTGCCAACCCAAAGGCATGTGGTTCGAATCCACCAGGTGCTCCATGGGAGAAAGATGAGCAATCTCCTTTGTGTGATTTACTGCCTCTGAAAACTTGTTGGAACGATTAGTACATAACAACAACATGCACCAATCAACAATTTCTATATGTACAACCCAGTATCCTGGACTGTCCTCCACATGGTGCCACTATTCTCACCCTTTTCCTAATTCTTTCTCTTCTAGTCACAGAAACTCGGTGGCCCCTCAGGCTCCTAACTTTTCAAATCACTCTTGTCAACTTAAGAGCATGATATTCCTAGTAGACATGCTTTACTAATTAAGCTAAATGACTGTATGATTCAAAGACTTCATGGGATATTTTTGGTATAAGGTTTACAGATTATTTCAAGGCAAAAGTTTCGGGGGTTCATCTAGCCTCCATGAATCTAGGGAAATTGGAATTTGTAAAAAAAATGAGACATATGGCTATTCTTCATTTAAAAATGCTGTTGTTATTGTTATTATGTTCTACTGAGACGGAACCAACGCATCGCTGTCTCTCCAGTGGGGTTTCAGAGGGTGTACATTGCAGGGCAGGAGACTGCCCATCTTTCTCCTTCTGAGAAGCTGGTGGAGTCAAACCACGTGCCTCTGGGTTGGTGGCATAGTTTCTAACCACTAGGCCAAAAGTAACAGAATGAGTGTTTTTGTAAAGGAACACCAGACTTCACTGTGAACCAAAAAGGAAGTGAAAAAAAAAATAGATCAAGTCCCTGCTCTCATGAAGTTTATAAATACAGAGGAGAAAAAAAAAAGAAAAAGAAAAAAACACCCACCCCAACAAACCATGGGTAGAGAGGAACAGATCAAGAATTGTAGAATAAATGTAACGAAAGCAGACAAGTGATGAGGAAAGAGAGAAGTAACCAGTCAGATGTGATAAAACTATGGAAGATTTCGGAAAATGCCAGTTTAAGCTTGACCTTTGAAAGTTCCCAATAATGAAAGGGAGACGTGGAAAAATGGTGGAATGAGTACATAGACAAGGACATGGAACATTTAGGAATGTCTCAACATCAGCAGGGAGATTCTAGACAAACGTGGCTCCATGACCAGATAGATTCAGGGCAGAGAACAAGGCAGGAGAGAGCAAGCTGGGCATTGGTGAAGGAATCTCTGTCTGGAATTCCAGCTCCACTACTGTCTACAGCTATGTGACCTGGACAAGCTGGTTAACTCCCCTCTGGTGTCAGTTCCCACATCTCATAAGATGAAGACATGTAGGATGTGGCTTAGAGGATAGGCAGTGACAATGAAATGAGTATGACTTGCATAAGTCTAACTAGAAGGTGCTTAGTCATGGTAGATACTATCACTCTTAAACCCCACCCCCCCAGAAATTCACCCAAATTCATTTAGGAGCATTTAAAAGGCAAACGTAGACGACACTTGTCAAGTTAAACTGTGTGTAGGCCAAAGTTCAGGAACACGGGAAGAAAACTTACTGAAAGTTTAACAAGTATTTTGTTTCTGATTGGTTGGTGGGAACAAGAAATTCAGTTATTCAATTATGAGGCAAAGAACAGGAATTTGGAGGTAGAGGTTCTGCGTGTGGCTTGAGGAGCCCTTATGGTGCAGTGAGTTAAGTACTGGGCTACTAATAGAAAAGTTGGAAGATCAAACTCCCTGGTGGCTCTGGGTGAGAAAGATACGGCAGTTAGCTTCCATAAAGATTTCTAGCCTTGAGAAATGCTGCAAGGCAGTTTTATTCTGTCATGTGAGGCTGTTGAGCTGAAACCAGCTGATGGCTGTAAGTTTTTGGGTGCCTGGCCCTGTCACAGGTAAACAAGGGGCAATGACAAATCTTATTTCGTTTATATGAGAAGGATGCTTATTTGCTGTAAGAAGTTTTCCTGGATCATATGTTCGGATACAATTCAATATTAACAAATTCAATATATCTATTACACCAGGTTTGAAAAGCGGCTCTTTGGTTTTTAAATACACAACCTACTATGTTGTTGTTGAGCGCCACTGAGGTGGTCCCATTACACAGTGATCCTATGTATGGAAGAACACGTACAGATGGCTCTGCACTATCCCCACAATCGTTGCTGTATTTGCCATGACTGTATCAAGACACCTCACCAAGTGCCCTCCTCTGTTTTCCTGGCCCTCTACCAAGCTCACACACCCTTCTCCAGGACTGGTCTCTCCTGATCACATAAGTGAAAGGAAGTCAACATACGTGAGATGAAGTCTCACCTTCCTCATTCACAAGGAACATTCTGGCTCAACATTTTCCAAGACATTTTCTGACAGTTCAAGGTAGATGTAATATTCTTCACCAACATCAATATTTCAAAGGCATCAATTCCCCCTTGGCATTCTTTATTTGCATCCATATGAGGTGTCTGAAAACATCACAGCTTGGTTCAGAAATATCTAAGTTCTTCAAGTGATCTTCGCTTTTTAATATCTTAAAGAAGTCTTTTGCAGCAGGTTTGCGCAGGCCAATATGTTGTTTGCAATAAGACTTGACGCATTTACTGATGAAGATGAAAGACTACATCCTTTCAGTATGGATTATACTTTAACATAGACAAAAATCCTCATAGCTAAAGCTTCATGCTAACTGAAGAAAAGACTGGGGTTGTCAATGATGCCATTTTACTTGGAGCCACAATCAATGCCCATAAAAGTCAGCAGTCAAGAAATCAAATGATATAATGTAATTTACTATATAACACCTAAATTAAAAGAAAAAAATAACAGCACTGGATTGTGATTAGGGATTTAGAAACACGTTTATTGGTGGTTATTACTGAATGCAGAGAATAGAATACAAAGAAATCAACACTTTAAAAAAATTACTCTTAAAATGTTAAAAAATGCAAGTATATTTACATGTATTGACCAATTTTGCATATCGGTTTAGATAGACAAACAACTGCAAAGCTAATTTGAATGCTTTCATTTTGACTATCCTTCAAATTTAATTTGGTCTAGTGTTTCCCCTTTTAATGCAGCTCTGGTTCTTGCAGTATTTATAACCATCATTTATTTTGTATTTAACCTAAAAAGTAAGACTCTGCAACCTAATCCTGAAGCAGTCAGTCACTCAGGAATTATAAGAGTCTATAAAAGGATAAAGCCACACAAAAATGTCATTACTAGATATATAAATACAAAAGAGAAAACATCAAAACGGGGGGAACCATAGACATACCAGTTATATCCTAAAGCTGTAATTCCTAATTCTAGCAACAAATCAATTAGCAGTATCTCAAATGTCTTTGTTCTAAAATCCATAGTTTTTCATTATAATTTTCTGAATTCACCCAATGAATAATTCTCAAGCCTTCATATTCTTTACTATTAACACAAGAATGAGATTTATACACTATAGAATCATTAATAAAAGAGGCCTTAGCACATACCAATGAAAGCAGCAGCCTAAATTTGGGGCCAGAGCTCAATTTACATAATTCATAAAGAGATTATAATTCCCAGGACAGTACTGTTCAGCACTGTTAACTCTGAAATGTCCCATCACTTCTTGCCCTCAGAGATTTACTGACATGCCTGAATTGTTATGAAAATGCTAACAGGGCCTCTAAACAGGTTTGCACATAAAATGAGATAATTATGAACTATAATACAATTGGGACAACACAGCTAGCTTACAGAACTGATTCCCAGCCCTTACTAAAATAACGGCATTGCAGAATCATAGTGACAGTTAAATATCGAAATTATTTTCCTCAGCGAACTACTGAATGTAAAATGAGCTTTCTGACTGTAATTTTGATGAATAAGCTATCTTTGAAATAACATACTAGGAAAAACTGAAAAGTGAACAAAAAAAAAGGACTCTTTAAGTTTACTTTTTACAGATATAAACAAAAAGCAAAGCAATAACACCCAAACTGTCCACAGAACAAATAAATATAAGATGGAATCAACCATTTTTGAAGACAACATGCTCACTTTCAAAAGTTCTGTTTGGTTTTACAACTAGGTTTCAAAATATTAAAATAAACCAAACTAACTCATTCTAACAATACTAACTTGCTGTACAGGATGTGAAAAAAAAGTGCTTCAGGTTTTAAGCTGAAATGAATGTGTCATTTTTACCCCTTTTCTTCGAGAAATAGGCAAAGGCAATCATGCAAAAAAATAAACATCAACAAAAATTAGTCCTGTAAGAACACCCTTCTCTTTTTTGAAGACTTCACTTTAGTTGGTCCTATATTAGGGTAAAATTGCTACATAGTAAGGGATTCCTAGCCTCACCCTTTATTTTTCATCTCTAGCAATTTATGTTTTTATCAAACAAAGCTTTCCTAAGAAGTGAGGCTGCATTAGAGGTAGCTGACTACGATGTGTAGTTAATTCAAATGAACATAATATTATTCTGAAAGGATGACAAGAAGTAAAGATGCAAAGAAATAAAAGGAAAATAAAAACGTACTGCCTTGCACAAAGAGAAGAACTTCAAGAAACTGAGATTAGCCAGGAAACAAATTATTTGCTGCTGCTGCTGCTTCTCCTCCCAGGAGCTTCTTTAATGCACCAGTTCAGGCTGGTTCTCCACAAAGGGTAGCACCCCACTCACATAGTACGCAATGCCCAGGGACAGCAGCGCAATGACAAAGATCAAGAGCAACACTCGCCAGAAGCCCAGATCCTCTACAAATTCCTGCCACGTGGTTCGGAAGCTGGAAAGGACTCCTTCACCTTGCTGTAGGTTGGGGTTGAGGAGAGAATGGCTTTCCATGGCACTGAGAGAGAAGGAAAGAGAAAAAAAAGGGCATGAACAATACACTGCACCTATTTCAATAAAACATCAGGATTGCACTATTTCAAAAAAGACCAGCCATGTGACTTACACTTACCAGAAGAGAAAAGATGGACACAGATGCTCCCACGCACCTACTGATTACTTGCCTGTATCAGGACAATCTAGCTTAGACTGTAAATACCAGATCACAATGATTATCTCTTGGTTTAGTATCTAGCAGCGTCAACATTAAACATCCTTTTCTAACAAAGAGGTCCCAAGCAGAAATTGTGCAACAGGTCAGATGAGTTGTTCCATCAGATATTAAACCAAAATGCATTTTATAGATTTTAAGTTCAGAAAATTTCAAAATGGAGATATGAGAAAACATACTTCAGTGGGAGTAGGCAAAGGTAAATCTAAAACTATCTCTATATCATGCCTGAATCTTAATGTTAAAAGGCTTAATTTAGCTCAACATGACCAATGAAGGAGTATTTATTTCACCGTGCATCTCCATTAATGGAAGCTTACTCCTCAGTCTGAACTAATCAGACTGGTCTAATGATTCAGAACTTTTTCTTAAGTTTTCAATCACTAATTTTACTTTTATCTTGAACAGTAATAGAGAATAACTTTCCCTTCTGCATAAAAGTTGAAGTTACTTGTGGTGGGGAAGATACTGCAAAACAGCACTAGCACATAGACCTTGGTTTTCAGAATTGTATCAATGGGATACAAACAGAACACAGTACATTTGACTCTAGTATTTGGAAGGCCACAGCATGATGAACTGAAAACTCCTAGGGACTGGCCTAACTTGCAGGCCCAGTATAATAGGGTATCATTTATACTAAATCCACAGTGTCCATAATCGTAGGTATCAACTATCTGTTATTTATCCAAGGTCATGACTATCCTTCTTCCTTAAACCCCTTCTCTTCATAGTCTCTCAACCCTTCAGGCCTAGAAGAATCAAAACAGCAATGTCTCAGAGTCTAGCTCACCATGAACTATGAGTAAGTACACACAAAACTGATGTAGATTAATTTTCCTTTGTGTTGACAGCAGTGTAACTCTAATTACTAGGAAACCAGAGCTCCCTCTTTTTATAATAAAAGATGTTTATTCCCTGAAAAGAAATATTTGGTTTGAATTTTCAACACTACACATTTCAGAGAACTAAAGCATGTTCAAAGTTTGATTAAAAGTTTCAGAAGCCCTAAACAAGCAAAGCCATAAATAGATGAAGTTTGTTGTTGCTGTTCTACAGAGTCAGAACCAACCCATAGCTGACCCTCCAAAGGGTTTTTAGAGGCAGCTAATCACACAGAGCAATGGTGTCTCTCTGGAGACTAAGGTGCACCTGATACAGGCCATGGTCTTTGCAATCACTTGTTATGCATCAGAGAGTTGGACAATGACAAGGAAGGATAGAAGGAGAATTGATGCCTTTGAGCTGTGGTGCTGGAGAAGAGTATTGAATGTACCATGGACTGCCAATAAAACAAACAGATTCATCCTGGAGAGGGTTAAACCAGGCTACTCCTCGGAGGCATACTTCATCTGACATACTTTGGACATGTTGTAAGGAGAGAAAGGTCCTTGGAGAGTGACATCATGCTTGGGAGGGTGGAGGGATGGCACAGGAGGGGAAGACCCTCTATGAAGTGGATTGATTCAGTGACTGGGGATGGGTGTGTCAGAGGCAGTGCAATTGGTACAAGATAGAGCAAGGTCTAGGGCTGTTGTACATAGGGTCGCTATGAGTCACAAACGACTCGACGGCACATAACAACAACAACAACAATCACACAGAAAATTGTCCATCCTCTTCCCGTGGAGCAGCTGGTGGCCTCAAACTGTGTGCCTTCGGGATTGCAGTGCAGCTTCTTACTACTAGGCCACCAGTTTATTCTGACTTTTGCAAAGCTTATTGACCATGTCCAAAATGACAAGCCTTCATACTCAATGGATGTTAGGCATTAATAAGAATTAAGATGAGCAGTCTCTAGAAGTTCACGAAGCTCTGCAAACAAAGCTGTTCTACAGAGACTTCATTCAAAATGAGGCTTTCCAGTAAGTTTTTTTAATGTCCACAAAAAACTTAACTCTAACATAATGGGTGGTGGTGGTGCATATTTTACATCTGCCACCAACACCATCATGCTCATTCCATACCTACAAAAGGAAACGAAATTAAACTCAGTATGGGACAGAGGGAAAATATCTCTCAACAACCTAATTCATGAGCCCTGAAGAAGTAATACTGAGTCTCAGCTATTAAAATCTTTGAATTTCTTAGGTAGTGCAAGCAGTTTGACTACTAACTGAAGGCTGGCATTCTGAACCACCCTGCAGTCCATGAAAGAAATGCCTAGTAAACTGTGTCTGTTAAGATTACAGTCAAGTAAACAATAAGTAAGCTTTTGTCAGGTAAGGAGTCTTCACGGGCCAGAATCAAGAAAAATGATGGGTTTAGCAGGTGTTGACTAATTTGACCAAGCTCAGACATTAAAATCTTAAACGAAATAGAAGATACTTGAGTGAGCACATGCCCAAATTTTGCATTCTTTCCTGCTTAGAAAAGATTAACTATTACACATTCATGCCATGATGTCACAAGCCAATCAGTATATTACGTTTTCATTTTAAAAAAATTGAGCTGGGGAGCTCTGGTGGCCTAGTGGCAAGAAGCTGTACTGCAATCCCAAAGGTACATGGTTTGAATCCACCAGATGCTCTGCCGGAGAAGGAGGGACAATTTCCTCCTGTACCAGTCAGATCTGAGTTGATGGTACATGCACAAAAAATAATAATTTAAAAAACCCAAATAAATAAAAAATTGAGCTACAATTCACATACCATAAAATTCAGCCTTTCAGAGTGTTTAATAGTATACTAATAAAGATGTAAAAGAATCCTTACTATCTAATTCCAGAAAATTTTGTCATCTCAGTAAAATATGGAACCATTAGCAGTCACTCCATATTCCACCCTCCCCTGCAGCTCTTGGCAGCCACTCATCTACTTTCTATCTCCAAGGATTTGCCTGTTCTGAACATATCCTATAAAGGAAGTCATTCAATACATGGTCCTTTGGTGACTGACTTTCACTCAGTATCGTATCTTCAGGGTTCATCCATGTTGGAGCACGTACCAGTACTTAATTCCTTTTTATGGCTAACTAATATTCTACTGCATGTGGACCACATCTTGTTCATCTACCCGTCAGGTGATGGACTTTTGAGTCGGTTCTATTTTTCTAAATAGGTTTTCAATTTCCTAGGTATATACCTAGGAGTGGAACTGCTAGATCAAATGGTATTTCTATGTTTATATTTTTGAGGAAATTATAACACTCTTTTTCAAAGCAGCTGTGCCATTCTGTATCCCACCTACACTCAAAAGCCACTGCTTGTCGGGTAGACTGTGGCTCACAGTGACCCTCTCTCACGTCTCTGAGGCTGCAGCCTTTACAGGACATCTTTAACAGGACTGCCTATCTTTCTCTTGTGGAGGAACCTGTAGCTTCAAACTGCCAACCTTTCAGTTCTCATTACTGTTGAGTCAGAACTGATCCACAATCGATTCTCTAGAAGTTCACGGAGGTTTCCCAAGGCTGCAAATTGGATGGGAAAATATTGTCTACGTTTCTCCCTCTGCGCCAGTGGTGGATTTGAACTGCTAGAGAGTCATGGCCTTTGGGATAGCAGGGCAACTCCCTCCAGACGCCCTTTACAACACCCTATATCACGAGGACTACTCTCTTCTAAAAGCAAAGCTCCTTAGTTTCTTAGTATGTATTTTGTGCTCTAAAAGCAATTAAACAAAAGACCTACTCTTGAGAATGGGTTTAATGATCCCCAAAGAGCATACCACTCAGTAAATAAAAAAGACAAAAAGCAATCCTGGGTACAAAGAATCAACTGAAAAGTGAGCTATGAGAAAGGGAGAGGTTTCATTTAGAATCTACAGAAAAAAATTATTCCAACAATGAACTATGGAACCCTAATTCCAAGTCCTGGTCAGTCAGCTGCTGGCCGCTGGCTGATGAGAGCCCTTGTGCATTATATCCAGATTCCACTAAAAATTTTGGGAAGAGACTACAGTGAATTCAACATCTTTCTCTCCTGACTTGTATAATCTAGAAGGCTGAAACTCCACAGAGGTAAAACACACTATTTGCTAGTGTACTAGAGAAGTATGGCCTCCTGATTACCTGTGGAGCCAGGAAGGCAAGGAGGGAAAATAGTCTGTCACCTTTTAGAACTTCTTAAGCTGCTTTCACAACTGTTTCTCAACTGAGAGACCTAGTCAGTCAACGCATATAAACTTCAGTGCCTTATCAAAGCCCAAATTTCATTTGTTCTCAACTCATATGAAAGCTACTTTCATAGTACTGAATTGTATGTTTCCTCCCCTTGAATCTTGTCTTATTTTTTTCTCCTCCTGTTTTATTATTTTGAATATTCCATCTCCTTACTATTTTAAAAATTCTTTTTATTGGTTTGCATAATCATTCATATATAGTGTGTTTTATACATATACTTTATGGTTTATACAATCATTCATATACATTATATTTTATATAATTCATTTACCACTGCTCTATGCTTAGTATCACCCCGTCTTTTCAAGTTGCCATTGAACCATACTCAAGTTTTCACCCTCATCCACTAACTTCTGCTCTCCCAGTGACTTCCCCCCTTCTTCCTGTCTCTCTGCTCTCCTTTCCCCTTTGAACATTTACACCTATCTTGCTCAGTAATCCTCATATTTCCACAATAGTGGCCTCAGTTACATAAGGACAGATAGTGCATCTCCTTACTCTTAAAGCCCATTTTTGTCTCTTCCAATTTTGTCCCATTACTGGCGTTGCCCATTTTCCTTCCTTTTCTGTGATTACATTTGTTATGTGATCTGCGCTTTCTGTGCACAGATAATACTCACTAACACCGGTTTCCTCTCTCTTTTTACTTTTTTTTTAAATTTTATTTTACCATTTTTGTGTGTACTGTCAAATAGGATCTGACTGGTACAGGAGGAGATTGTCCCTCCTTCTCCAGCAGAGAATCTGGTGGATTTGAACCACGCACCTCTGGGACTGCAGTGCAGCTTCCTGCCTCTAGGCCACCAGAACTCCTTTCACCGTGCTCAACTCTTAATGACTTCCTTACACTGTCAATACAACATGTTTCCTTGTGCAGTGGCTATCGAACATTCTGTGCATATGGGCACTTAATGATTCCTGTTAATAGCTTCCCAATTCTAATTTGGAGCCATAAGAACCTGTACCAAGTTCAAAGAAAGCATCAAGACTCTGTACTCTGGAAAGCAAATGATTAGCAAATCTCACAAAGTCACCACAAATGATCTACTTAATTAAACAGTGACGTGCCCTTTAAAAATTGCATCTCAAGTACCTTTCACTCTCGGCAGTCTGCATAGTCTCCAGTTTTGAGTGGGTTCCTCTGTTAAATCCTTTTACTTCCTGTTCTTCCAAAGATTCCAGCAGTCTGATGACATCTTTGTTCACTCCTCTGCGCTTTGCCAGCACTAAGGGTGTAGCTCCTTGATGATTGCTTTAAAAGTTGATTAAAAACAATAGTCGTTAGTCATCATTTAGGAAGATCTCAGTGAATAAGCTGTGATGCATCGTTCTTCAGAATTAAAAGCAAGAGCAAATGAAATTAAAACTGAACAAAAATGTTCAGTCTATTTTACTTCTCATTTCTAGGGAAAAGGAAAAAAAGAAGACATAAGCAGAGGAATAAATGAAAATATTAATAGTGTGGAAGGAAAAATTCAGAAAAGGAAAGAGGAAATGGCTGACAACTAGAAGAACATAATCAATGTTACTAACTGTGCAGGCAGATACTACTGAGACTGGTACATATTGTTGTTATGTGCCGTTGACTTGCCAGTGACTCTATGTACAGCAGCTCTGATTCTGCCCTGTCCTGAGCAAGTCTCACTAATTCTGACACACCAACCCCCATAGCCCCTAGTCACTGAATCAATCCATCTCATCTGGGGCCTTCCTCTCCTGTCCCTCCACCCTTGCAAGCATGATGTCCTTCTCCAAGGACTGGTCTCTCCTGGCCTCGTGCCCAAAGTATGTGAGACAAAGCTTCAAAATCCTAGCCTCTAAGAAGAAACTTGGTTTCACCCTCTCCAAGACTGACTTATTTGTTTACTTGGCAGTCCATGGTATGTTCAAGGCTCTTCTCCAGCACCATAATTAGAAGGCATTGATTCTTCTTCTGTCATCCTTAGTCACTGTCCAGCTCTCTGATGCATAGCAAGTAACTGGAAGACTATGACCTGGATTAGATGTATCTTAGTCTCTAGACTAACAGGGCCAGGAACTTCCCTCAATACTGCCTCAAGAAAAAGATTTCCCTGAATTGGGACAGGGGCTTTGGACTTACATTGTCCTAAACAAGAGACAGACAACAGGGTGAGAGACCAGTAGCAGTGTGTGGTGCAAGCCATCACAGAAGTGACTTGTGGACTAAGCTATCATATCAATTTGTGGCTGGGGAAGGGAGGGTTTGACCAGGGAGGCACGAGCATAAGGAATGGCAATGCAGCAGGGCAAAGGAAGAAAAAAGACACACATATTTGGGTGGGGAGGACAGTGGATGTATCGTTTATTTCTGTAAGAGATGTGTCTTTGATCTGCTTGGTTACAAGCTTGTCTGTAAGATATTGTTCTAATACTATGAATCCAAATTAAAGACAGATTAGGAAGAAGGACTGGCCATCCACTTCCAAAATATAACAGGCCTTCGAAAACCCTACATACAGCAGCGGAGGTAAATATTATGCTGTGTATTATTAACAACTAAAACAAAACTTTAAAACCAAATTCATTAAAAAGTCAAATCCTAGACTCTCTCATATTTATTTGATATTTCTATTTTGTGGGGAGAAGTGTGTATTTTTTAAAAAAGTAGTCAAACAAGTTGCTTTAGCTTGAAATAAGAGAATATTTAAACTCTTCTTAAGTTTTCTGTTTTTAAAAGAGCTTCACCAAGCTTTCTAAATTTTCAGCATCATAAACTAGAGGTAAGTGATAGGAGCCTAAAAAAGTCTCAAACAAATGACCCTGCATCACAGTGATGTGCAAGGTAAGTCTCTGACTTGGAGCACAGACATGACTGCATTATTCATTTACTAGTCTGAGCTCCGGTGGCCTAGTGGGAAGGGAGATGTATCGCCAATCCACCTGTAATCCACCAGCCATTCCTCACAAGAAAAAAGGGGCAATCTACTGCTGTGCAATTTACAGCCTCTGAAAACTCACTGGAGGGTCAGCGAGGAGTCAGTTCCCACTCAATGGTACACAGCAGTAAGACTGAAGTCCTACAAGTTGCTCAGATAAATCAATACTTGCATGAATAGGAGGAAAGAACCTAAATTAGAATGATTCTGCAGCCAAGCCTTATCATATTTTGTCCTGTAATAGCAGAACCATGATCATCTTATTCAGAGTCAGGTATATTAAAGAATCTATAAAATTAGGACAGCATGTAACTATAGTTTAGAAGTCAAATTTAGTTTTAAAGGTAGTTCGACATATCTTTCTTTTTAGTAAGAGTATCATTACCACAAACAAAGTAAAACAAAACCCACAACTTTCTCAAATTCTTTAATAAAAGATTACGAGGCCCAAAGAGACTATGAAGCTGGCATGGGATATGATAAATATACAAGCTTTGGAAACGAGCTGAACTGGGTTCAATTTCCAGCTGTCATGAGCCATGTGACCTCTGCCAAGTCACTTAACCCTTCTTGTCTTAGCTATTTCATCTGTAAAATGAAAAGAACACTTTGGCACACCTACGTTTATTGTGGCTTTTTTCACAATAGCAAAGAGTTGGAAACAACCTAAGTGCCCATCAACAAACGAATGGATAGAGAAGGTGTGGTATACTAGGCAGCATTGAAAAACAAGGAATTCATGCAATATTATTAAAAATGGGTGACCCTGGAGGACATTATGCTGAGTGAAGTATCTCAGTCACAAAAGGACAAATACTGCATGATGCCACTGTTGTAAAACAGGATTGACATTGGGTTGGGGTTGGGAGGAGACTGAGGAAGATGGGTTCAATAATGTATACTGCATTGAAACAGAAGAGGGAGAAAATTGTGTAAAAGGGATATGTGATTAGGTATTTTTGTCATGACGAGAGTCCAGAGGAGCGAAGGCTGCATAGTGGAGTGGGCCTGGGGGGAGGGATTGTAAAACAATGAAAGGATTTGTCTTTTACTTTTCCAAGGGCGTAGTGTACTGGGGCAGGGGGCGGGTTGGGAGGGGAGAAAAGTGCAACAGTGAATGAATGGAAATCCAAAGTCTCTGTAAATTTTCACTGAAATTAATAATAAATTTTAAAAAGTCTAAACAAAAAATTAGATATTAACATTCATACATACACACACATACACAAAAAAAAGAATAGAACACTTTGTAAAAGAGCTATTTATTTTGAGGATTAAATGTGCTTACAAGTGCCTACCCATAAAAAGATTTTTCACAAATGTTAGTTACCACTATCTTTTCTCATACTGTGTAAATCAGTTAGTAATAGAAACTGGCCTCTATTTTCAATAAGGGAAAAAGTATCATGTTTCAGCATAAATGTATAGTCATCTCTTGTTCCTTCACTCTGTGACTAGATTGCATCATCCTCTAAATTTTCCTCATCTTGTCATTAAAACTGACAAACTTGGAAACAAAATCAGTAGGTATAACAGACTAACTAGAAGAAACTACTAGACTTCAAAAATGACAGAGAACTTACCAGATATCAATTTTGAGTCCATTGGAAACTAAGAATTGAATAGTATCCACATGGCCACAAAGGTGAAGAGCTGTGTTTCCTTGATACTCGGTGGCCAGAAGGTCAGCACCAAACTTATGCAGCAACTGGCAAATGTCGACATTGCCTCGAGCTGCTGCCAGGTGGAGGCCCGTTCTACCCCTGTTGTCACGGATATTTGGGTCGAAGCCGCTTTCCAAAAGGCGCTTGGAATAGTTAAAGTCTCCATCAATACAGGCTTGGAGCAAAGGTACGTTAGTCTGAGAAGAATCATTTACAAAAACGTAGGACATTGTTCTGATGTGATGTGACTGACGGGATACACCACCTGTAAAAACAGATGAGCCGGATGAGTGTCTTTGAAGCCAAAGCACAATGGAGTCACTTAGAAAGGCACGATTTCTCATCCTTCTTGGTCTCTTGCCTCTAATAAACTACTTCATCAAACAAACAACAGTAACAAAGCTATCAATTACAGTTTATTTTTTATTTAAAAATGTTATTTTCTTTTATTATTTTTATTATACTGCAGCAAAATTGCAATTAAATTACCAAAAAACCCTAATTTGCCTAATTTGCCTTTCATAGTGTAAAATGATTAAGAGGTATTATTTAAGGGTAAACAAGGTACAGTGGTGGAAATTTAAGTTTACTGTACTGTCAGAAGACATCTAGAGGTAACTTTAAAGAACTGAATGGTGGCCTAGTGGCAAGAAGCTGCACTGCAGTCCCAACAGAACACAGTTCAGGAATACCAGCTGCTCCATGGGAGAAGGACAGGCAATCTCCTTCAGTGTGATTAACTGCCTCAGAAAACCTGCTGGAGGGTCAGCTATGGGTTGGCTGTGACTCTAGAGTAAACAACAACATGTAGGAAATGGAAGGAGCGAGTAAGTCCAAACAAGGAAACACAAGGCAGACTAATGCATTTACAGAAATGACTTTTTACTTTAAGTTACATATACTGAGTCAAGCATCACAACTGAGGTTTATAATGAGTTTTAAATGAATGGTCTCAACATCTAATGGTGGTGGTCGTTGTGCACCCTCAAGTTGGAACAGACCTATAGCTGACCCTGTGGCAGATTTCCAGAGGTAGTTAATCACATGGGAAGATGCTGCCCATCCTTCTCCCTCAGAGAAATTGGTGGATTTGAACCAAGTGCCTTCAGGATTGCAGCGTGCAGCTTCTTACCACTAGGTTGCAAGAGCCTCCCCTAGTGTTAACAGTTGTTCCATCTGAATATCAATGACAATTCATCAAAGGATTTAAGTGAAGGAAATGGCGTGGTCTTCTTAGTTTTTTAGGACTTCTTGGATGCTTCAATGGTAGTTAGATTACAGGGGGTGAAAAGTAGAGACAGGATGATTACTCAGCTCATTATAGTTATTGAGGCAAGAAATGGTGACTACCTGATCTAAAGCAAGCAGTAAAGAGAAAGGGGACAAACTGGAAAGGGGTTGTTGTTGTTGTTGTTATGTGCTGTCGAGTTGCTTGCGACTCATAGCGACCCTATGTACAAGAGCTCTAAACCCTGCTCTATCCTGTGCCAATCGCACTGTCTCTGACACTCCCATCCTGATTACCCCAGTCACTGAATCAATCCACCTCATAGTCTTTCCCTCCTGCACTGTCCCTCCACCCTCCCAAGCATGATGTTCCTCTCAAGGACCGGGTCCCTCCTTACAACATGTCTAAAGTATGTCAGACTAAGCCTCAGTATCCTTGCCTCCAGGGAGCAGCTTGGTTTAACTCTCTCCAAAATTAATCTTGCTTTCTTAGCAGTCCATGGTACATTCAATACTCTTCTCCAGCACCAAAGCTCAAAGGTATCAATTCTCCTTCTAGCCTTCCTAGTCATTGCCAAACTCTCTGATGCATAACAAGTGATTGCAAAGACCATGGCTGTATCAGACGCAACTTAGTCTCCAGAGTGACACTATTGCTCTTCAGTACTTTGAAGAGGTCCCTAACAGCAGGCTTTCCTATCACAATACGTCTTTTAATTTCCTGGCTGCTGGTGCCAAGAGTGTTGACTGTAGAGCTAAGCAAACTAAAGTTGTTAACAATTTCAATCTCTTCAGCATCCATCCTGATGCTGCCAATTGGTCCAGTGGTGAGAATCTTTGTCTTCTTGATATTAAGCCTCAATCCATATTGGAGGCTGCAGTCCTTGACCCTCTGCAGCAAGCGCTTCAGGTCCTCCTCAGTTTCGGCAAGCAGGGTTGTGTCATTTGCATAACGCAGATTGTTGAGGAATCTTCCTCCAATCCTGATGCCACACTTCTCCTCATAGAGCCCAGCCTCCCAGATAATCTGCTTTGCATACAGGTTGAAAAGATATGGAGATAGGACACATTACTGGCATACATCCCAATTTTGAACCATGCAGTGTTTCCTTGCTCTGTTCTGACAACTGCCTCTTGATCCAAGTAGAGGTTTCGCATTAGCATGATCAAGTGTTCTGGGATTCCCATTCTTCTCAGAGTCAGCCACAGTTTGTTATGATCCACACCGTCAAACGCCTTTGCTTAATCAATGAAACACAGATAGACATTCTTCTGGTATTCCCTTCTTTCAGCTAAGATCCATCAGAATTAGGACTACTTCTTGCCCATCAGATAGGAAGAGAAGGAGCGGCTAAGAATTATCTGAAATGAGGAAAGATTTGTTTAAGAATTTCAAGAAACTAAACCTGAGCTTATGGGACTACATAATAGTTTTTAAAGAAATGTATGCAATGAGAACAAATTATTCCATACATTTGTCACGATTCCTTATTTTCCTCTACAGTTAGCAAGGAATTGGATCATAAAACAAAGCTATCTCAAAATTTTACAAAAATGAAAATGCCAAATACAAGGTTTTGTGTTTTGTTGTTTTTTTTTTTTTTTCGTTTTTTAAGAGGTAACATATTTGGTTAAATTCAGCAAGAAGAGATAATGAAAAACAATCCATTTGGTGTTTTTTGATTCAAACACAGCTAAGAATTCTTGTGGTTTGCAGACTGAGATTCTTCTGAATGTTGGCTCAGTAAAAAGACAAGCCTTTCTTGTCCTTTTTTTTAAGTGAGACTAAGGAGTGTGCTTTGTGAGTTTCTTTGTGTCCTCGGGAAACTGCTAACCTACTCCCCAAATTTAATAAGCTCAAGGATAGATAACATTTTCATCGTAATCACAGAACTGAAACTGCCCTAAATCAAGGCCACAGTTCATTTAAGGTTTCCGCCTTGTGAGGAAGTCCACAGTAGAAAGCACGTAAGACTAAAGGAGATTAGATCTCTCAGTGGGTCACTCAGCAGTTTCTGTGAATTCTTCAGATGCTTCAACCAAATATCCAGATATGAGCCAGCAAGGAGCTAGAGTAAATAGCAACTTCAGCTGTAACAAGGGTGTGGTGTGAAAAAGGATGTGCTGTTCTAGTAAATCAGACATGAGGGTGAGACCTGCTGACAGTCTCTGGGCCAAGTTTTCAAGTCTCAACTTTTGAGGCAAGTGAAGTACCTGACAGTAGTAAGAACAGTAAAAAGAACAGAAGAGATTTGATAAGGAGCTGTTCAATTGCCCAGGCACAGAAAGCACACAGACAGGAAAAGGGGGGGGGGGGAATAAAATTATGTGCTATCAGCAGAGAGAAACTCAGGCTCTGAAAATTTGTTCTAAGTCATTGTTCAGAATTCAGAATGCGTATTTTCCCTTTATAAATGGTGGCCAGACCTTGGATTACATACAAAAACCTTTTTCGAAATATAAGGCTATTTACAATTTAGGCGAGCCATGAAGCTCACTATAGACTACACCACTAAAGCTTCTGCTATTTGCAATTAAAAATTAAAAAGATAAAACTGTTAAAACGTAAAAGTAAAACTTGCGAAAGCTAGAAATTTGTGTTAGGCAGAAACTTGCCAAAGAAAGCTAACTCAAATGTTCTCCATTAAAGTTAGTAGTTTTAAAATGGTAAGACTGCACCAAGTCACAGGTGGAGAAGTGGCCAGGCTGGAAAAACAAGGTTCTCTCCTCAAGTTCTGATTTCAAATTTTCACTGTTATTTCAACTAAATCAAAAACATTTAAGAGGAAAAAAAATTTCTAATTCATCTGTCTTGAATACTGACAAATCTTCTCCTGAAATTTTTCCTTCCTTTCCAGCATTAAAGAAAAATGGCATGTATCCATTCACAGTCTTCCCTATTCTCCCTCAACCCTGATCCTCCTGACCCGAGCCAAGCAGTCCCTGGGTTCTATCCTTGTCCATACTGTGCCCATTCAGTAGTTAACTAGCGAATTGTTCTCAGGGATGATGAAAGAGAAGTCAAAGGGCAGGGAGTATAGACTACAAATAAAGCTGAATCATTAAATAAGTATTTACTCCAGGCCTACAGATAGTCAAGGAAACATGGTCTTTCCTTCACAACTAACGAAGGGATTGAAAGAAGGCCTTCCCCTACAGCTGGCACCCTGGATTTGGACTTAATAACCTCCTAAATAGTAAGAGAATGAATTTGTTGTTGAAAGCCATCCAATTGTGGTATCTTTGTTATAGCAGCATTAGATAGCAAAGATAACAGGTAACACAAAGTCAAACTAAATTCAGAAGAGGATATGAAACAAGGGATATTACTGCCCAATGAATCTCAGCTAAAATCAGAAAATATCTGAAGGTTGTTTGTTGTTGTTAGGTGCTGTCGAGTTGAGTATAGCTTACAATGAGTGACCTTATGAACAACAGATCCTATCCTGTGCCATTCTCATTATCTCTGACACAACTGAGTCCATCGCTGCAGATATTGTATCAAGCCATCTTGTTGAGGGTCTTCCTGTCTTTCACTGACCCCCTCACCTTACCATTCCAAGAATGATGGCTTTTTCCAAGGAACAGCCTCTCCTAGCAACATGATCAAAGTATGTGAGACCAAACTTTGTCAACCGTGCCTCCAAGAGCACTCTGGCTGCACCTTTTCCAAGACATAGCTGCTTGTTATTTTGGCAGTCCTTGACATACTCAGTACTCTTCTCCAGTGCCACAACTCAAAGGCGTAAATTCTTCTATTACCCTTATTCACTGTCCAGCTCTCAGATGTATAGCTAGTGAGTGACAAGACTATGGCCTAAATAATGTGTACCTTAGTCTTCAAACTGACATCATTGCTCCTCAGTAATTTGGAGAGGTCCCTGACAACGGACTTGCACAATGCAATATATCTCCTAAACTCCTGACTGAAACAGTGTTTGTTGACTGTGGACAATTTAAATCTTTTTTCCCATGTATCATGATGCTGCTTACTCCCCCTCCACCCCACCCC